AGCACAGCACACTGGGGATCGAATCCTGGCTGCTGTGTCTGCCTAAGCAGGCGCTTTGGTCCACTGAGCTATCTGGCTGGCTTAAAAAAATAGTTTAAAGCATATCTATTTCAAACAGTTGGTCTACAAAAAGCATTTGATTTTCTGAGTGCACAGATCACGTACTGAACACAAAACCTAATAGACTGAGATAACCAAAATAGCCACTGGGTTGTAGCTTTCATCATTATATATAATTTGTATTAAATGAGATGGGAAACTGCTCTTTTCACTATAGTTTCCTATAGACAGCATGTGTTTTTGTATGTTGAGAAAGAATCCTGCACTCCTGTAGCAAGTGTAACTAACATTCTCTGACAGCACAAGAGCCACACACAGGAAACTCCCTATTCAAAGTGCAGGGTGAGCCCTCTGGAAGTTAAACATCTTGATATCACTGCCTTCACCATCACTTAGGGCACTGAACAATGACTGATAAGGTGGCTCTTTTGAAAAAGGGACTCTACCTCCCCCTAAATTGCTATATATTTTTTACAATGCTAAATTATAATTACATCTTTGATATTTTACTAATGTATATATTAAGGTGTCATATGCTAAGAAATTCAATTGTTATATGATAGTGTGGGAAGTCTCTTTTAAAATTCTTTTAATTCTATTAAGAGCAATGAGAGTTTCAAAACTGATTAGTAGGACAGTTTCAATAATTAATACTTCGCATAGTGTTGTCTTCATAGTGGTTATTCATAGTACAAGATGCACACATGATAACCTGTCCAAACACTGTTAGTACAAATCTTCTCATTGAATTAAGAGAAAGTAGCTGTATATATATCCTATTGGGTACATACAGATACAAAATAGTCCTTTTGTATCCCCATTTTTTTAGTTTTGTAAGAAGTGGGTATTCCATTGCCATTTAAAGATTATAGGTGCTTGAATTCACCAAAATAATCCAATATAGTCCAGTAGTCCATAATAGTAGTGGGTTATCCGTAGGACTGGCAATGTCAGAAGTTGTTGACTTGAGCCTTTTACAGCTCAGCGTATTAAGAGGGCTTTACTTTTTATACCTTATTGTTATACTTTTCTGCTGGATGGTTAAGACCAAGATAAAGCAGGACCTATATAACAAGAAATGAGGGGGCCGGGGAGATGGCTCAGTGGAATAAGCGCTTCCCTGGCAAGCGCAAGGGACTGAGTTCAATCCCCGGTTCCAT